CTGAAGAAACATTGCAGAAGATGAGAATACAACACAACTGGGTGGAGGTAAGTTCCATGAAGGCCAGACCTCAAAACAAAAGATAGAATGACTATACCCACATACTTATCCCATACTTCCCCAGGGCTGAATAGCAATAATTGATTGATATTCTAAATAGGCATCAACCATCTTTGGATCAAATCCTCCCCACCCTACTCCTTCCAGGAAAAATCCTTACACTTGCTGCATGACTTGCTTCCAAATGTGACTTGCTTCCCCCATTGGAAGCAAGTCACCTAAACCGTTCTACTTGCAATCTTACTGGTTGACCAGTTTCATCCCACCTATACAACTTCATGATTTGCCTCCGTTACGCTGAGAAATAGGCTTCTGGTTAACCTACTTTCTGGGACCCTGTCTATTTCTCTTAGAAACTTTCTTTCCCTCAATATGTATTTCCTGCTCTTAACCTCTATTGTTCCTAGAATTCATTCTATGATTTTGAGGGACACAAACTTGGATATATTGGACACCTCGGAGGCTGGGAGTTGTAATATTCCCCTTATATTATTTGGATTATTTAGAAGTCCTACATCATCCCTATGCCAATGGGACCTGAGTAAAACCCAAATCTAGCAGGACAAACGAATCCTGGAGCAAGTTATGGTGAGACGAGAACTCCAGTGGGCTTGGGTAGCCCTGGCCTATGTCACTCACTATAGCTGGCTCTCAGGGCGTCTCTCTTGGGGGTTGGGGCTTGCTCACGCCTTGCTGCTCTCTTCAGATGGTCCACATTCCTGGCTTTTCCACTACATCTTGGGCTTCACAGTCACAGTTTTTTTTTTTATGGGTACATTTTAGATACACGTAGTGATAACAGTCATCATAAGAAGTCGACACCTGTACATAGTGTATCTTGCTTCTTTTTCCCCCACTCAGTTTTAAGCACTGTTCTCTCCAGGAGCACACTGCCTGGCCCCCTGGGCCTTCTTCTGCTGCATAGTGCCCTAGGCTCTAAGTTTACCAGAGCTTCCTTTCTGGCCAAACTCAAAACTTCTGAATTATTCAGCTGGGATGTTTGCTCTTGATTCTCAGTGTAGAGCTGGCTAAAAGCCCCCAACAGTACTGCCGCCACAGCAGCAACATGTACATTTTCTCTGTTAGATGAATTATTCCACCATCCTTAATCTTAAATCTCCCACAGCTATCAGGAAAATGGAGACAAATTTACTGCTAGAGCAAAACACACATGAGCAGGAGTGCAACTGCCAGTAGAATCATTGTTACCAACTGAAACTTCCTGACTGGGTCTTTTACTTCTATATTTTTATCAGTATGATACAGAGGAAGAAACTCCCAACCTACTAGATGTCTAGTGTTCTCTAAAATTGAAGAATGAATTTTAGGAACAATGGAGGTTAAGAACAGAATATACTTATTGAGAGAAAGAAAGTTTCTGAGAGAGAGACAGAAGGGGACCTGATTGGGTTGCCAAAGATCCTGCCTTTTCCAGGGATTTTTATAGAGCAAAACCCACAAGGTTAGGCCGGTCCAAGTCAGGGAAGATGAGAACTCAAAAGGCAAGTAGGCACAAGGTGGTACAGAACTATGGTCAACCAATAAGATTATGAGTGTATTGCTCAGGTAAAATAAATTGGGATCAAATGGGGAGGGGAGTAACAAAGGGACAAGAATACAGAGTAGGGTCTTTGCTAGTAAGGGTTTGGGTTAATGGCTCCTTCTGGTTTCTTAAAGGTGATTGATATTTACTCAGACTATCAATCCTTGATGTTTATACTTAGGATGTGGCTGCACTGGTTTTGCCTTTTGTCTTGAGATCTGGCCCACCCCAGTGGTGTTTGTCTCCTCCAAGGTTTTACAAGATATTTGGTCTTTTGCATTGGTTCCTTCCAGGGATAGTCTAACTGCCTATAATATTTCTGTCTAACTCAGCTGCCTATAACAAGTACTCTAGTCTTTTTGTAACCAGCACTATGAAATGGAACTTAAAAAAAATTTTTTATTGGTACTTTTTTTTTTTATAGTCTTCCTCTGTAGTCCAGGCTGGCCTTGACTTCACCTCCTGAGTGCTAGGATTACAGGCATTTACCACCATGCTCAGCTTCCCCAATAGTTTTAAGTAAACGCCTTTTTTCTAGTGGTGGGGCAAAACCATGAATTGACTTTGTACTTGCCAGGCAGGTGCTTATGCTGCTGAGCTATATCCCCAGTCTTTTTTCTTTCTTACTTTTTTTTTTTTTAACCAAAGTGTATGGTTCCTTTGATTTGGTCAACAGCAAGCAAAGGAATGTAAGCACACGAATCTAAGTGACTGGTAGCATTGTGAGCTCTGAACAGAATCTCCAATCAAGCTATGCTTGCAGCATTCTAGGGCTGCTTCTCTAGCCAGAATCTTCAAATTTTATCAAACTCCTCCCTCCAAGGAATTCCAAAGACTTCTTAACCACCTAAAATCAGGCAGCCATCTGAATGACCCCCCTGTTTTAAGACACCTGTAAATCTAGGAAGAAAAGTTTTATTTTGGTTCACAGTTTGTAGAGATTTCAGTTTATAGATGGCTGGCTCCAAGGGCATGGCAGGGGAGAAATAGTTCATAGCATTACAGTGTGAAGAAGGCTGGAGGGCATTTTATTTTTATTTTTTTGAAATGGGGTCCGGCCATGTAGTTCAGGCTGAACCCAGTCTTGAACTCACTATAAAGCCCTGACTGATCTTGAAATTGGGGTGATCCTCCTGGCTCAGCTTCTTGAGTGCTGGGATTACAAGTGTGTGTCACCACATTGGGTCTGGAGGGCATTTTTACATCTAAATCATAACAATCCTCATTTTATAAGTAATAACATGAAGCAATCTAAGATTCCACAAAATTATAGTGGTTGAGGATGGGGATGTAGATGAGTTGTAGAGCATTTGCCTAATGTGAATCTTTCTTTTTTTTTTTTTTGGTACCAGGGATTGAACTCATGAACTCATGACCTCACACTTGCCCAGCAGGCGCTTATGGACCCAATTTGTGTAATGTGTATGAAGTCCTGGGTTCAATATGAAGCTCTGGGTTCAATCCCAGTGATACCAAAAGAAACAACAAAACAAAAGAAATGAAAGAAAGAAAGAAAAAAGGAAAGAAAGGTAGGTTACAGTGGCAGTCCTGGGAATAAAATCTAGGAAAATATTATGGCATCTAGTTAGTCTCATCTTAAGGACCTGTTATCTTTTTTTTTTTTTCCTGTCTTTTTCTTTTTTATTGGTACCAGGGATCGAACTCATGATTGCCTGCTTGCAAGGCAGGTGCTTATGCCACTGAACTAAATCCCCAGCCCCTAAGGACCTGTTTTCTTAATTTGTCATATTTTCTTCTCTACATACCTTGTTTCCAATAAACATTTTTGAGTTTTATAGTGCTACACATAGCTTAGTTCTTAAACATACTGCTTTGTGATCAGGCATAGGAAAAAAATTCTCAGCCATGCTGTGCACTGTTGGCTATCTACTCAGTTTTTTTTTTTTTTTTTTTGAGACAGGGTCTCACTGTGTAGTTCTGGCTGGCTTTGAACTCACTATATAGCCCAGGTTGACCTTGAACTCATGGTGCTCCTTCTGCCTTAGTCTCTCTGCTTAGTTTTGAAGGCACAATTATTAACAGTATAATCTTTATATACAGCTTAGTCACTATTGTGTAGATTTGGCTTGTATTAGTGATCTAATTTAATACCCTGAATTGTAAGGTAAAAAGTTTTCTACTTCAAGTCAGGAGACAAGATTTTATCTCAGTTTTGTTGATAATTTGCTGTGGACTTTGGCAAGTCACTTAGCCTGTTTTTTTCTCCTAAGTTAACGATTATCAAAGTATTATTATAGGACATTAAAATTGGCAAAGACTTGAGAAATTACATAGTACAATTCCTTCATTCTATAGTGCGATGAAATGGCTTACCCTAGTCATCTGTACAGTAAGGAATTTTCTCTAGGACAAGCACCCAGTCTCAGGTACCAATGCTGTTTTCATTACATTACTGTTCCAAGAAATGGGGAAAAAAAAAGTGAAGGCATTAAATAATGTAAGGCCGTTTTTTAAAAAGTCAGATTAAAAATGTATAGTGGGGGCTGGGGATTTAGCTCAGCGGCATAAGCGCCTGCCTTGCAAGCAGGCAGTTGTGAGTTCGATCCCCCGTACCGATAAAAAGGAAAAAGACAAAAAAAAAAAAGGAAAAAAAAATGTATAGTAGATATTGGCAAATGGGAAGAAGTATTCAAATGAGAAAGGTACAGGGAGGCACAAAGGAGAAGGAAAGAAGGACAAGGAAAAAAGAGAATAGAAGGAAAGAAATGGAAACAAAGCTTTTGTAAATAGGGAAAGAAGGGCTGGAGGGGAGAGGAATGGGGGAAAAAAAAGAAGCAAGATATATCATGTACAGGTACAAATTCCCTATGATGAAAGTGCTCATTATGTATCCCTAAAATATAACAATAAACTTCATTAATTAAGAAAAGTTTCTGTAAATAAACAGGGGGGAGAGAGGTGAAGGAAACAGGAGAATAGCAAAAGATATGTAAGGTAGATCATGTATAAGTACAAATTCTCTATAATGAATGTTATCATTATGTATATAAAATGCACCAAAAAGGGGGGGGGGTGGCTAGGGAAAGGCCAGGTTAACCATTAGCAGGCATTGCAGCTTGAAAGTTTATTTTAAAATAATTTCAAAGGTAACCCTAATTTAAAAGACATTTAACAATTAGAAGTTCTGAAGTTAAGTAGATCAGAGAAAATAACAGGTAAGGATTAAAAATTTACGGTGAGTTTGCAGAATACCCTTGAAGGGAAAACAAATTTCCCACAAAAGTCCTTACCGTGTATCTCTTAATTCTTTGTGGTTTGCGCTTATGGGTTTATGAAAATGTAGTAAAATGAGAGTGACTTGAAACTATTGCCTCGCCATTTCCCACTTACACTAAACGTTATTACATCAGTTGTCTAATTTAGCGCCATTCCCTACCTGAAGTAACGCGTTTTAACCTGCGGAAACCACAGTCAACGCAAAGACTCCGTGTCCCAAAATGCTCAGGGGTCTGTCTCCACCGCCTGCTCGCAGGAGCTGTGCTTTCATCTGGGAGTTGTAGTCATACGGAGTTTGCACTTCCGGGATGTGGGGCAGAGGATGAACCAAGTGAACTACAACTCCCAGTAGGCTGTGCGGACCCTCCGCCACGCCGGGGTCATGCTCCTCCTCCAGCCGCTCCTCCCTCTCTCTGCTGCACAGCTCACGCCTTCCTGTTAGTCGGAGCTGGGAGAAGTTCACTCCGATCAGCTGATCCCAACTGACAACAGGAAAGGAGGAAGCCTAGGAGGCGATGAAGGAGGACGTGGAGATGGAGATGAGGATGGATTCATCGGTGCCCTGAGGGTCAGCTCTTGCTCCCACAGGGGTCTCGCGAAACCCCAATGCCGCCTTGAGACGGCCGCGCTGCTCCGTGGTGGGAATCCGGGGCCGCGGCAGTAGGGCGGGGAGGGCATGGCCCAGCACTGGGCGAGCGATAGTCCTGGGGCTCCGGCTGTACCCGGGAAGAAGGGGGGCCGGGTGCGGCGCGGGTGGGGGTGGGGTGATATAAACAATGGATTCGGCTGCGGGCTGTGCTGGCCTAGGGGGGATTTGAGGGGGACCTTCTTTGTTCTTCGCTGTACTCCTACCCCTCGGGTTGTGGTGGTGTTGTCTGAGAGGAAGGCAGGGTGAGGAAACCCTGCTTTGTAGCGGGGCGTCGAGGTAGGGGTTCCAGTGGGCAGATTATGTGCTTGGCCTAAAGGGATTGAGGTGTTCTTTTGAAGATTGATTTTATATTTTTCACAATTGTGACAAGTTTTGATTTTTGTTTCCATTTTGGGTGCTGGTTTGGGCACGTCTTTGGTTAGGTTGTAAATAAGGCACCCTAGTCATTTCCTTGTCTTCCTTGTTTATCTGAAAATAAGATGGATAGATTGGTTACAGTAAACGGGGAGTGAATATCTGAAGAGGACTTTCCACTTTGTCGGGCATTGGGATGGGGATCAAGCCAAGGGTGAATCAGGAATGTGATTGTACAAATGACCAGAGCCCCTTTTCTCCCCAACTGTCTTTTTTTCTCTTTGTTTTTGAAGTTATTTTTATCTTAAATTTTGAGTGACAAAGATTAAAATTATTTGTTTGATTTGCTGCAGGCCTGTTTTTATGGTGAACCATAGTGCAGGAATTCTGTCTCCTGTTGCTCACTTTTCTGTTTTGCCTTTAAAGAAGCAGCAAAAGGAAGTGCAGTAATTGTTTATTGTTTTTGAACTTCAAAATGGGACTTGTTTCCAAATGTAGAGGCCTTATTAAGTATCTCTCTAGAATTCAGTTACATGGATAACTGGTTCTGTCTGTGTCTTTGATGGGTTTAAGGTTTATAATATTATTTTCTTTAGGTTTTCACAGGCATCTTTGTTTTGTTTCCCAGTTGTGAGATTCAGGTGTGAGTGCAGACAGTTATTTCAGGGGTTGTTTGCTTAGTGATTTGGGTTCTGAATTTAATAACTGAGCGAACAGCACTTTATTCTGAGGAATAGAGCAGTAAACCTTGGATTTAAAAGTGGTGTTTGTTAAAAGAAGTCAGATTTTGATAAGAAATAGGTAGTATTGTAAGACAGGGTGTTTTTGATCGAACTCACGACCACCTGCTTGCAAGGCAGGTGCTTATGCCGCTGAGCTAAATCCCCAGCCCTGGGACAGGGTAAGTTTTACAAACAGCAATGAAAGCTGGGTGTGGTGGTGCATGCCTGTAATCCCAGCACTCCTTGAGGCTGAGACAGAATGCTTGAGGCCAGCCTGGGCTACATAGTGAGTTCAAGGCATCTTGAACTACATAGTGAGACCCTGTCTCAAAACAAAAACAAAAAAGAACAATAGAAGCAAAAAATGAGAATTATCCCAGTAGTTTTGACCAACTATTTAATCAGTTTCTTTGTTATTTTTGTTTTTAAAATTTTATTAAAATGTTTTTAAATGAAATTTTAATAAAATTTATAAAAACACATCTGGGGGGCTGGGGATTTAGCTCAGCGGCATAAACACCTGCCTTGCAAGCAGGCGGTCATGAGTTCGATCCCTGGTACTGATAAAAAAAGTTAAAAAGTTAATAAAAATACATATTTGGGAATAATTTTCTCAGCTTGAATTGTTTTCCTTTTCCACTCCCAAAGGAAACATAAAATTACCAACACCCACATACGTTGACACTCAGAACTATAATGACATTCTCAAAACTCAACTGCATTAGGTTTAGCTTATTTATTTAGTTGTTTACTTTTTTTGTTTTTTTGAGACAGGATCTCATTCTGTAGCCCACATTGGCCTGCTTGTCTCTCAAGAGTCCTGGAATTACAGGGTTGTGCCACTATGCCTGGCGTGATATGGTTTAAACAACGGAAAAATGAAATGTTTTTGTTTTAAGGTGCACTTCTGTTTTCTAGGTGAGTGAAATCCTTTTCCTTCCTCTATTCTAGGTGTCCCCTGAATTACTGACTTCAGGTTGAATTATTCTGAAAAACTCCTGACCACTTTATGTCATTACCAGAATATTGTGGCTGAGGCCCTACAAGTGCGCCCACCTCTGTAACACATCACACCTTTCTCAGATAGCCATCAAAGACCCTTTTGAATTCATTTTGCCTATCTTTGCTTGCACTTTACTGGAGATGAAACTGTCAAACCAAATCAACATTGCTTCTGATACAAGAGTTTGAGAAGCAGAAAATTAAAAATCTAAATATTTGTGAATGTGTAAAGAGTTGTAGTAGGACAGTTTTTCTCTTTTAAGGTGTTCAGATTCCTGTGGAAGTTTTGTGTTGTCTTTCGACTCAAAGCCATCGCCTTCATCTTTTGGGAAAGCTCAGTGACTTTTACATGGTGAGTGTGTTTCCTTACCAGTCTTGAGTTATGAGTGCCCAGACATCGGTAACAGAGAAGGGCCTGAATCCAGGGCTGATGTGCCAGGAAAGTTATTCCTGCAGTGGGACGGACGAGGCTGTGTTTGAGTGTGATGAGTGCTGCAGTTTGCAGTGTTTCCGCTGTGAGGAGGAGCTTCATCGGCAGGAACGCCTGCGAAACCACGAGCGCATAAGACTCAAAGCTGGCCATGTCCCTTACTGTGACATCTGCAAGAGTCCCAATGGGCATTCTCCAGGAGTTAGGCAAAGGGCATTTGTGAGGTGCCAGAGCTGCAAAAACAACCTGTGTTTGGAGTGTCAGAAGAGAACTCATTCTGGGGGCAGCAAGAGGAGACACCCCGTTACTGTATACAATGTCAGTACGATCCAGGACTCCCTGGAGGCAGAAGGGATGGATGAAGAGACCAAGAGGAAGAAAATGACGGAGAAAGTTGTGAGTTTCCTCCTGGTAGATGAAAATGAAGAGATTCAGGTAAGCACTTGGGCCTGGTGGGAGTCAGCTGTGGAAGGTAGATCTCCAAAAGATAGGCCAGGGGTTGTTCATATTTTAATCATTAAAAGGTCAAGTCCTCAGAAGACTTCACTTGCCTGGAGTCAGATGTAGTTACTTATCAGCTGCATGTCCCTGGATTGAGTTACTTTTCTCTCTGAGCCTGTTTTCTCTATAAAAATGGAAACAGAATTTGGGTGTGGTGGCAGGGCCTAGAAACCCAGCACAGAGGGAGGCTGAGACAGGAGGCAACCTCCTTGTCTGCAAATAAAAAGTGAGTTCTGGGGATGTGGCTCAGTGGTAGAGTGCCCTGGGTTCCATCCCTGGTGCTGCAAAGGCCAAATGAGACATTCTTCATATAGCCTATTGTGTATTAAATGCTCAGTATGTGGCAGCTGTTGTTAGTGTTATTAGGAAGAGCTGTTTTAAAACAGTTTTCTGAAAGAGACCATGTGGCATGTTGTGAGTAAATGTCAATGATAAGGGACGGTGCATATCCAGGGAAAGAAATACAGTGGGTCCATGGGAATGTTAGGTACATAGACATAAACCTGTTACCTTAATTTAGAGGGGCAGGTCTTTAGAAAGTGTTTTTAGGACTAAGGCTATAGCTCAGTGATAAAGAGTGCTAGCTAGCCCAGTATGCCTAGAGCCCTGGGTTCAATCCTTAGCACTAACCAAAAGAAAAACAAGATATTTCTCCCCCCACCCCGCTCCCCGTACTGGGGATCAAACTCACAACCTAGAGCTTGCCAGGCAGAGGCTTATGTTGCAGAGCTAAGTCCTGGCCCCCAAACAAGGTTTCTACAAGGTCAGTTTGCTTCTCTTTTTTTGTCTTTTTGAGACAGGGTTGTGATGTGGAGATCGGGCTGGCCTTGGGCTCACTTTGTAGCCCAGGCTGGTCTTGAATTTATAATGATCCCCCTGCCTGCCTCAGCCTCCCAGGTGCTGGGGTTATAGGAATGCACCACCACACCTGCCTTAAGGTCAGGTTTCTTACCAGATAGCATGTTCTTGTTTTTATTTAGGGATTTCTTCGTCCGTTATCTGTTGTAGTGACAAAATACCTGAGCTCAGATAATTTATAAGGAATAAAGTTCATTTAGCTTGAAGTACTAGGGACTAGAAGGTCCAAGAGCCAGTGACACCAGCATTTGGGGAGAGCTCCTTGCTACAACACAGCAAAGGGCATCATGGAGGGAGGGAGGGCAAAAATGCTTTTATCTTAGTTCTGTCTTCTTCCCACTTTTCTTTTACTGGGGATTGAACCAGGGCCTTGCACATGCTAAGCAGGTACTCACTGAGCTATACGTGCAGTTCTTTTTATACTTAAAACAATTTTTTTGTTTTGAGACAGTCTTGCTTAGGTTGCCCAGGCTGGCCTGCCCTTGAACTTGTGATTTTTTTTTTTTTTTTTTTCCTTAGCGTCTTTGTAGTTCAGGCTGGTCTTGAACTCATTTTGTGGCCTACATTGGCCTTGAGCTTGCAGAGATCTCTTTTCTTCAGCCTCCCAAGTGCTGGAGTTACAGGCGTGTGCCACCATGCCTGGCTGAACTTGTGATTCTTGTGCCTCAGCTTCTGAGGCAGGTGGGGTTAATAGGTGTGCACGGCAGGTCTCTCTTACAAAGCCACCAATCCATTGAGGGGGCCCTACCTTGATGATTATCTAATCTCAGTTGCTTTCCAAAGGCTCTACTTCACCATCAATTTACAAATTTTGCAATTTAAAATTAAAAAGAAAATCCAGGAAACATTTAAACCATAATAACTTCTGATTGGTAAAAAGCCTATGAGGGCCTCTAAGGATGACTAGAGGCTATCTGGTCTAATTCTGAGTTGGGGAAAGGGTAGCCTATGATAAGAGCAAGCTGGGAGCTGGTAGTATGTGATGGGAAAGTGACTGGGAAAGGGGTAGTATAATGTTTGTGCTTCCAAATGAAGTTAGTGTAATACCTGTCCTTTGAAGTAGGCTTTCAAGAGAAAGCTGCTTGGTTCACATGCTAATTCACTACTCTGCATTGCCTAGTATTACCATGCGCAAGTTGTTTAATCTCTTTGATTCAGGTTCACTTTGTAGGATTGTTTAGAGAGTGGCTAGAGTTTAGGAGTGAGTTGGACTTAATCAGTAGGCCCTGGTCACAGTGTCCAGGCCTGCTTTGTCAGCAGTGTCTGTGGGGTGTGTGTGCTTCATTGACTGTACTTTTGGTGGTGATGATTTCTTTAGTCTCCAGGTGGGAAGAGTTACCTATGTAGGTTATTTGAGAAATTTCCTAATCGCCCACTCAACATTTTTCATCTCCTTTTTTCTCTTCTGATAAGATGATGGAAATTAATTACATCACAATTCCTGTGTATTTATGTTGTCAGATAAAGACTTTGCTAACTCAGACTTTATTGTTTTGAGAGGAAATGATGAGTTATGGAAGAGTGATCCAGACCCCATTCTGCCTCTCTTGTCTGCAGGAATGTGTTTATGGGTTATGTTGTAACTGACATTGTAGACTAAAGATTTTATAAATGGAGCATTTGAATTTGCGTGATTATTGTTAGTTTTGATATCAGTTCTCCTTCGTGTCTGTCTTTGGACTTCGTGTCAGTCTTATTTCTCTTACTTACCTAAAGTGAGAGGAAGATTTAGAGTGAGCCAGTAATCCTCATGAATATTGTATCAGTACCTTTAAAAAAGAATGTTTTTGAGGGGCTGGGGATTTAGCTCAGCAGCATAAGCACCTGCTTTGCAAGCGCCCTGTCGGTTGTGAGTTCTATCCCTGGTATCAAAAAAAAAAAAAAAATGTTTTTGGGCCGGGCATATAGCTCAGTGGTATTGTGTCTACCTGGAAAGCACAAAGTCGTAAGATCAATTCCTGGTACCACCTCCCACCAAAAAAAGTTGTTGAGAGGGAAGAATACATTTTTTGCCCTCTTCTTGCGCTCACCAGCTCTAGGGATCAAACCTAAGGAGTTCTGACTCTTTTTTTTTTTTGGTACTGTGGATGGAACTCATAAATGTGCCTTTGCCAGGTCGGCACTTATGCCACTGAGCTAAATCCCCGGCCCTTGACTACTTTTTTTTTTTGGTCTTTGAGACAGCCTCTCATTAATGCCATTCAGGCTGATCTTGAGTTCACTTTGTAGCCCAGGCTGGTCTCAAATTTGCAGTGATCCCCCTGCCTCAGCCTTCCTGCCTCAGCCTTCAGAGTGCTGGATTACAGGCATGTGCCACCATGCTGGATTTGAGCCCTTTTTTATCTTCATTATGAGACAGAATCTTGCAGAGTTGCTCATACTGGCCTTAAATTTATGAGCCTCCTGCCTCAGCCTCCCTAGTGGTTGTTCTTTTTGTTTTTTATTTTAAAACATTGATGCATGTTCTTGCTGGGCTCAGTGGCTCATATCTATAATTTTAACACTTGGGAGGTAGAGGTGGGACAAGTTTGCAAGTAGCCTGGGTTACATAGTGAAGTCCGAAGTCCTGCCTGGACTGCAGAGAGACCCGTCTCCAAAACAAAGCAAAACAATCTGATGCATGTTTCTTAGTAGAGAATGAAGAAAATAGAAAAAAAAATCCAGTGAAGACAATTTCAACTACCTAGAGATGATATTTGTCCCTTGTCTTTTTTCCTTCATGTAGTATATAATCTGTATGTAATGGGGTTGTTGGTAAAGATTCTTGCTACCTGGGGATTTACCTCAGCGGCATAAGTGCCTTTCTGGCAAGTAAGGGGTTGGGAGTTTGATCCCCTGTACCAAGAAAAAAACCAAAACACAAAAAATTCTTGTTGCTTTTCCTCCCTTCATACCATTTCTCAGGAAATAACATTAACTCCAAGCAGCATTGGTTGATACTAATGGATTAGACATAGAATTCGTTTATTTTAGGTGGATATTCATTCTTTTTTTTTTTTTTTTTTTGTGGTACCGGGGATTGAACTCACTACCTTGTGCTTGCCAGGCAGGCGTGGATATTCATTCTTATAGAGCTGTAAGTACAGAAATACTTGAGAAAAGTTTCTGGGTTAATTTTCTTTTAGGTCAGTGTCCAAACAATTAGATGATTTTTTTTTCTTTTTTTTATTAATACCAGGGATTGAATTCACAACCACACACTTGCAAGGCAGGCATTTATGCCACTGAGCTAAATCCTTAGCTTCAGATGATTTTCTGTTTTTCTTTTTTTGTCTTTTTCATTTATATCGGTACCGGGGATGGAACTCACGACCGCCTGCTTGCTTTTTTTTTTTTTTCTTTTGGTCTTTTTCCTTTTTATCAGTACCGGGGATCGAACTCAAGGCTGCCAGCTTGCAAGGCAGGTGCTTATGCTGCTGAGCTAAATCCCCAGCCCCACCAGATGATTTTCTTAAACAAACCAAATTACAAATTCAGCTAGAGTATAAACTCATGGAAACAGGACAGTTTTTGTGTCCTAGACAGTACTGTGCAGACTGGTAAGCACTTTGTCAGCATAGAAATACTTATTGATTAATGTGATATCATATCTCAAGTTTTTAAAAGTGGGTATCATGCATAGTAAGTGATATAAACAGGTATACAGTGAAGAATTTCCTACTTCACATACTTGATTTCTTTGAGAATAATTACCAATAACAGTTAACTGCATCCCATTCTGAAATTTTTCATGTATATTTTTGAATGTATGTATGTTCAGTGAAATCAAACTCAGTACCTTATGGTTGCCAGGCAGGTGCTATGTCACTGAGCTATATCTCTAGCCCTATAACTTATTCTTTTAATACCTATTTGAACAGTTACAAAAATACACTGTTTAGATAGGGTATTTTATCAAATGGTAATGTGAAATTTTAAGTTTGGATAGTATTTTGTTTGTCACTGGAGATTGAAATCAGGGAGAGCTAAGCTATGCAGAATGATTAAAAATATAGGGAGTTGGGGCTGGGGATTTAGCTCAGCGGCATAAGCGCCTGCCTTGCAAGTGCGCAGTCGTGAGTTCGATCCCTGGTACCGGTTAAAAAAAAAAAAAAAAAAAAAGTAAAAAGTATAGGGAGTATTTAAAAGTGTAACCTGGTGTGGTGACACATGCCTGTAAGCCCAGCACTTGGGAGGCTAAGGCAAGACAACTGCTGTGAGTTCAAGGCCACGTTGGGCTACATAGTGAGTTCAAGGTCTCCCTGAACTCTTTGGTGAAAATCCTGTCTCAAAAAAGACAGAATATTTATTTCAGAATATTTATTTCTTCTTGCTTCAGATATACTTAGCCCATCTTTTGCCATATTTTGAAGCAAGGAAATCTTTGTGTCTGTAGTTGCTTTGCTGTGGCTGTCGTGGTGTCCTGAACTGATTCATTGTGTTTACTTTGTCATTTTGACTTTGGGGAAGAACCAGAAGGCCTTGTTGGTATCAGATCTTACGGAGGATGAAGACACTCATATTTTTGTAAGTTGGCCTTTACCATTGGATAGCGTTTGCCGGTAGCATTCAGTGTATTTTTAATCATAAAGACATAAAAAAAGACCTCTAGAAGTGTATTGGAAAGTGGCAAGACCCAGCACTCCAGAGACCGAGCAGGAAGATCACCTTGTTTGAGGCCAGCCTGGGCCAAATAGTGAGACCCTGTCTCAAAAAAAGAAAAACAAACCAAAAAATGGTTTGATATAGCTCAGCAGCATAAGTACCTGCCTGACAAGCACAAGGTCCTGAGTTCAATTCTTGGTAAACCCCCCCCCCCGTGGCATTATTGATGGGATAAGTGTGTTAGAAGTATTTTGAGAGTTTAATGGCAATGTGTCTTATATTCATCATATTTTTCAGATACTCCTTGTATAACCCCAGCCTTTTTTTTTTTTTTTTTTTATTAATGTTTTCATGTTGAGCTAGGCAAGTTTTCCAGGCTGAGTTTGAACTTGGGATCCTGTGCTTCAGTCTTCCAAGTAAGTGGTACTGGCAGACATGAACCACTGTGCCTGGCTAGATAATACTAAATTTCAGAGCCTCATTCTCTTTCTTTCTTTTTTTTTAATTTTAAAGAGAAAAAAACAAAACTCAAGAAACAAAGAAATGACAAAAATAAAACGACAAAAAAAAACAATAGTGATACAGGGTTTTAAGCCAAGATGATAGGAATTTTTTTTTTTTTTTTTTTTTTTTACATTGTTTCCTGCATGGTTTATCTCCTCAGTCACTGCCCAAAGGACTCTGAGAAGTTGTAGGAATATGCAGGCCCAGACACAAGGCCCAGCTTCTTCTCCACCGTTGTGGAAAGGGACTGTACATTACGGGGCAGAGCCCTATGCCACCTGGACAGAGCCCGGGGAGAGTGACCACCTGGGGTATCCACATTGGAGATGATAGGAATTTAACAATGGTTGTTACAGTGCATATTGTTATCTTCAGTATAGTTGCCGAAGTTACCAGTTACAGGCATGGGAAATTGATCAAACAGTATAATTTCCTTTTGAGCAGTTTCTTTCCCTTTTACTATATCTGAAACCCAGCTTAAGTTGTACTTGCCAGGCAGAGGTTTGTGCCGCAGAACTATATCCCCAGCTATGTATTGTAACTTTTTTTTTCTATTGTTACTTTTGGATCTTATTTACTCTTTCAGTTTCTTACACTAGCCAGACTCAGTTATGATGATGGTTTCTGGTTGCGTCCATACACCTATAAAGGCCTTGAGTTTATTGCAGAACCTCTTTTTTTTTTTTTTAGTCTTTTTGAGACAGGGTCTCACTATGCAGTTTAGGCTGGCCTTGAGCTCACTTTGTAGCCCAGGCTGGTCTCAAACTTGGAAATAATTATCCTGCATCAGCCTCCCAAGGTGCTGGGATTATAAGAGTGTACCACCATGTTTGGCTTTTTTAGCACCTCATTTTCTTAACCTCTGAAATATTTCTTTGTATGTCCTCTGGATTCTGGTTTTGATTCATGACAGCTAACATTTAAAGAGAGTACTTTAGTGTCAGGAACAATTCTTGTTTTTGAGACATTTTCCCCATGTGGTTTAGGCTGATCTTGAAGTTGTGGTTGTCTTCCTCCTCAGCCTGTCAAGTCCTAGGATTGCAGGCGTGTGCCACCTTCCCCAGTAGGAATGATTCTTAACTCCTCTTCCTCTTTCTCCTCTTTTTATTTTTTTTAAGACAGGATGTCACTGTGTAATTCAGCCTGGTCTTGCATTCAGCCTGCATAATCCAGGCTGCACTCAAAACTCATACAGATCCTTATGCCTCAGCCTCCCAAGTGCTGAGCTTTCAAGTGGGCACCACCACGCCCGGCAAGAAATGATTCTTAACACTTTACTTGTATGAGATCATCTATCCTAATGATACCCATGTATTAATTTCATATTGGTGCTCTAACACATTTAGTGGCTTAAAACAACACAAAAATATTCTTTTCCAGTTCTGAAGTTCAGAAGTGTACCATGGCTTAACAGTGCTGTATCTTCTAGAAACATTTTTTGTTTTTCTGCTTTTAAGCTTCAAGAGTCTCTGCCTGTATTCCTTGGTTATGGGTCCTGTTATTTAACTTCAACACTGTCAACTCTCGTTGCCATCCTCTTGTCTCTGTCTGCTTTCACGCTCACGTTGTCTTGTGTATCTTGCCTTTATTGCTCCCTTTGAGAGTCCTTTTGATTACATTGGGCCCAAAAAAAGAGCCCAGAAAAAAAAAAGCAGGGGGGCTGAGGATTTAGCTCAGCAGCATAAGCACCTGCCTGGCAAGTGCGAGGTCGTGAGTTCGATCCCTGGTACCGCCAAAAAACAAAACAAAACAACAACAAAAAGACAAAAAAAGAACCCAGAATAACCTTTCCATCTCTGAGTCCTTAACTCAGTCACATCAGCAGAGTTCCTTTTGTCACATCAAGTGACATCTTCACAGGTGTCAGGGATTGGAACTTCCCCAATATGGCTGGGGGAAGGCAATATTCAGTGAAGCATACCGACTGTTCACAGGTGAGGACACTGAGCACTGAGACAAGCACTTTCCAAGATTAAGTTACAGTAAGTGGCAAAGGATTTGAACACAGGCATTTGGTTCTGAAGTTCGTTCTTTCTTTCTTTATTGTTTTTTGAGATAGGGTTTCACTATGTAGTTCAGGCTGGCCTTGAACTTACTTTGTAGCCCAAGTTGTTTTTGAGCCTGCAGGGATCTTCCTGCCTCAGCCTCTCAAGTTCTGGGATTACAGGTGTGTGCCACCATGCTCAGCTTTGGTCTAAAGTTCTGGTTTGGTGATGGCAAACCTTTTAGAGCTTGTGATGATACAAACAGCCCACTGTAGTAAGTGTGCCATAGGTTCACCATCACTGTTCTAGCTCTTAACTATTTCTGTTTCTGACCAAGTCATTTAAATTTTCAAATTAAACTAAGTGTGGTTAATAGCACCAACTCACCCATTTCTCACAGCTGCTGTGAGGATCAGATGAAACATCATTCTTCCTAAATATGATACAGTACTGTATTATTACTAAAGAACTCTTTTTTTATATTAATTAGGCCCTGAATTGTTTTCTTTCATGTTTCTAAGTAGTCATAAATTTGACCATTTTCAGTGTTTTTCATAAGAATAATCTTAGTATCTTGTAGGCTATTACTGTTTTTTATGGTTTGCTCAAATTCTGTTTCCTAATCTTTGTTGCTTTTGATTGGAGAATTAACTCAGTTTCTTTTAGGAAACCTAAATGAATTTTTTTCTCTTATCACTTGGGAGGCTGAAGCAGGAGGCTCACCATGAGTTCAAGACCAGCCTGGGTTACAAAGTGAGACTATGTCTCAAAAACCCAAAAATGGGGCCAGGGATTTAGCTCAGAGCCACAAGTGCCTGGCTGGCAAGCTCTAGGTCAAGAGTTCGATCCCTGGTACCAAAAAAACAAAAACAAAAAAACCCCAAAATGTAGAGGCAAATGCCTATAATCTCAGCATTTGGGAGGCTGAGGCAGGAAAACTGCTACGAGTTTTAGGCTAGCCTGGGCTGCATAGTGAGTTTAAGGCTAGCCTTAACTACAGAGCAAGAGCCTGTCTCCAAAAAAAAAAAAAAAAAAAAAAAAATTGGCCTCCCCACCACCCTAGAAAGACTGCATAGGAATCTTTTGCAGAAGATAAGATGTATTTGTATTTATGAGAGACACTGATGAATCTGAATGTGTGGCAAAGTTTGTAGGTAGAAAATAGGGATGCAGATCCATTGGTGAGAGGAATGAGGGAATAAGAGAATTCTAGCGACTTCTAGGCATTTGGTTTGTGCATATACCACCCTCTTTAATGCATCAGATTTTATTTAAATTGGTAAAGCTAAGAACCTGATAGTATCATAAATAATTTAGCATCATTTGGGATTATTTAATATAGTGGTTTTTGACCAGGGTAGATTTAACTTTTTCAGGCACATTTGGCAATGTTCAGAGGCATCCTTGTATGTCACAGGTGGAACCTGGGGGCCATAGTCCCTGGCTAGTGGGTGCAGGCCAATAAGCTGCTAAGTGTCTTTCGTTGGACATAGGGTAGCTCCTAAAAGAATCATCTGGAAAAAAAAAAGTCATCTGGTAAATAACGTCAGTGCTGAGAAAGAAACTGATCTCCTAAAGTTTCAGTCTAATAGATTTGAATTCTAATGAAGTAGAAATAAATCAGAAACAAGAAAAATTTTTTTAACCAAACAGCAGTTCTTCCAACTTCTTTTAGTTTTGCTTGCTTTTCACAAGTAATTGTGTGTGTGGTTCAGTCAGTATTCTCTTTTGGCATATTTTGTAATCTCTCTAGTGAAATGATTAGTCTTTCTGGGTTGTAGTCATTGATTTTTTTCTAGGTTTCAATGGAACTGTACTTGGAAAACCAAAGGACTTACAGATCCATTATTTAGAGCCCATAATAAATAAATAATCCATGCTGACTAGTCATTTATAATTTCCTGAAGCCATAGGCAAAACCCTCAGCAAATATATCAAAGGTTAGAAGAATAAAGTTTCTTGCAGTTAGGATTTTTAGATGAAGAAGATGGCATTTTCCCATCTTTTGGGTCATGAGGGAGTAAGACATTTTGCTTTTCAGGATGTTTACTGGTTAAGGTGGAAATGGGTGAAATATTAAAAGATATTTTTCCCCTTACTGTATTTTTTTTTTTTTAAACCCACACAAAGCTGGGCATGGTGGCACATGCCTGTAATCCTAGCATTCTGGGAGGCTGAGGTAAAAGGATCACAAGTCTGAGCTCAGGGAGACGCTGTCTCAAAATTAAAAATATAAAGGGTTGTAGCTCAGTTGTAAGGTCCTATATTCAATCGCTTCACCAAAACAAAACAATCCATACATGGTTTTTGATTTTTAAAAATTAAAAAAAATTTTTTAAATTAATTAATTAATTTTGGTGCCAGGGATTGAACTCATGCTTGCTAGGCAGACATTTATACCACTGAGCTAAATCCCCAGCCCTGTTTATCCTTTTTAAAAAACTAGCTCCCCCCTCCCCCCGGTTTTTTTTTGAGATGGTCTTGCTATGTACTTCAGGCTGGCATTGAACTGGTGATCAGTCCTCTGGTTTTAGCCTCTGAGTGCTGGCATTACTGGCAGGCACTACCATGCCCAGCTTCCTTTATCTCTTTTCTACAAATTAAATCTGGCTCTCTTCTTCCTGAGAGAGCAGAAAAGCAAGCTGCAGAGGAGTTTTGCCTGTTTCACCTTAATGCCAGCTGACCTCCTGTGAGAAGGAGCATTAGGAAGACCCAGGAATTTAGCTCCTCTCCCTTCCCCTCGCCTCAGCCTCCTTTTCCTCTTTTTCTTTTTCCCCTCCCTCTCTTCTCTTCTTTTTTATTTTCTGTTTGAGACAGGGTCTCACTATGCAGTTCAGGCTGGCCTTGAGCTCACTTTGTAGCCAAAAATGGTCTTGAACTTGTAGGGATCCTTCTGCTTTAGCCTCCTGAGTGTTGGGATTATAGGTGTGTGCCACCGTGTCCATCCAGGAGCTTTTCTTGTTAAAACCTGTGAAGTGAAGTCCTTATGCTGATTGTGTAGGTCTAGGAGGAAGCTCATGGCCCAAGAGTGGTCAGTTAGAGGCTAACAAAGTGTGTGGCTAGGCCAGGCCCTGCTGTTCAGATGTAGCCTTGGAAACGGGAGCTCAAGAGTCCTCTTCCCTTCAGACAAGTCACTGGTCACCTCACTGAGCTCGCTCCTTTAAGGAGACCCATCATTGTTTGGCTGCTTCACATGTTTACAGTCCCAGAATAGTGCTGCTCAAAATACGGGGACTTTGCTTTTTTTTTTTTTTTTCCTTGAATTGCTTAAAAGAGACTAGTATTCTAGTGGGATTCAAGAATAGAAAATCGTGGAGGATGTTTTCTTATTGTAGGGAA